GCTGGAAAGTGCAAATGCCCAATAAAAAAAACCCCTAAAAAAAAAAAAAAAAAAAAAAAAAAAAAGAAAAAGAAAAAACAAAAACAAAAGAACTTCTTGCTACAGTTCTTCCTTGGCAACTCATTTTCAGAGACCCCTACCTTCTTGGAAACTCTGTTTTCCCTTCCCTCTTCTTTAATAAACTCCCCACTTTGTTAATAAATTCCCCACTTTGCTAATAAACTCCCCCTTTGTTATACCTACTCTCTGTGTCCACGACTCTAGTTCTTCCTGAGCATGGGACTAGAACCTGTGTCTCACTGCGAGTGTGGGCCCGATCTCCCACGTGCCCCCGCATTCCTGTATCAGTAGCAACAATTTCAAGAACCTCTTGGTTAACTATCACATATTTCCTTAGTCCATCTGTGGAGAATTTGACTGGAAAAACATTGGGAGCATCTGGACCCATTTTCCACCTGCCCTAGTTAAAGTTACCTGCCCTCCCCGCTGGCTCCCACATTGAGACTTCCTTTATCCTCCACACCTTGTTTCATCACCCCAGAATATTAGAACTTCATTCCATCCCCCTTTTGATAAAAGAACCAGATGAAGGTCTAAAACTCATCCTATAATGTCTATAGTCTATTACAAAAGGCATATTACAAGTTTTAATTTAGTAAATAATGTTCCATGTCCAGGAGATTTTTTTTTTTTTTGAGACGTTTTTCACTATAGGGCGCGTGCACTCGCCAGACAGACAGAGAGAGACAGAGAGATAGAAAGCGAGAAATCACCCCCCAGGGGGGATGGTCACGCCGCAATCCCTTCTCCTCCATTCTCCTCTCGGGATCTTGGGCACGCATGCACATGCGCCCGGCGTGAGTTTTAAAGCCACCGGGTCCGGGACGCGAACCGTAGTCGACTATATGGGAGTCCAGCGACATAGCCATTACGCTAACTCCTGGTTCCCTCCAGGAGATTTTTATAACACCACTTTCCACTCTTAGATCGCCCAGCTTGAATGAACCCCTTTCTTCCTTGCATCTCAGTAGCACTTTATGCCAGCATAAGTCACTTGGTTTACTGTATTATGATCCAGGCTTCATGATGAAAACTGTGAAGTTCTTAAGAACCTGGTCTCAGCCATCATTGTTTTCCTAACACTTACTGTAGTTTCAGGCACAGAAAATATAGTGATTCAATCTTAATTAAGGGTACTGAACATAATTATAGCTATTAAAAATATTTACTCAGAATGTAGGGGTTTTTGTACACCATGAATTGCTATTCAAGTAGAAATATTCATGTTAATATTATCGTATTACCAATAACTTGAGATTTCCATGAACAATTTACAATTTGCCACAAAATATTACTTTTAAAAAAGGTATAAATCTGGGACCGGCAGATGGTGTAATGTTTATGTTGTTGGACTCACTTTACTTGACTGCAGTTTGAGTCCCAGATGCAGCAGGTTAAAACTCACTCCAGGCATGTGTACGTGTGTGCACAAAATCCCGAGAGAAGAATGGAGAAGGGACTGCGGCATGGCTATCCCCCCTTGGGGGGGTAATATCTAGCTTTCTGTCTCTGTCTCTCCAGTGAGCACACACAGCCAAAAGCAAAAATTCTCTCTAAAAAAAAAAAAAAGGTATCGGGACCAGCAGTTGGCATAATGGCTATGTTACTGGACTCCCATATAGTCAACCGCACTTTGAGTCCTGGACCCAGTGGCTTAAACTCACAGCGGGCTCATGTATGTGCGTGCCCAAGATCCCGAGAAGAGAATGGAGAAGGGATTATGGTGTGGCCATCCCCCCTCGGGGGTGATTTTTCGCTTTCTGTTTCTCTGTCTCTCTCTTTCTGGTGAGTGCATGTGCCCTATAGCAAAAACTTCTCCAAAAAAAGAAAAAACAAGTATGAATCTATACTAATTATTGTATAGTCTTCTCATTGTTCTATTTATTGTTCATATCTTCATTATTAGACAAAGATCTTTATAGGATTGTAACTAATCTATATTACTAGATCCTTTGGTGTCCTGCTTTGTCTAGATTCTTATATTAGACTCATCTGGGAAGTTCTATACAGAAATCTGAGCAAGAATGAGGAAATGGCTGAAACCTCAGATTTTATACTTCCTTTTTCCTTTTCCCACTTTTCCCACTCTCATCAAGCTTCATAGAGAACTGTTTCTATAGCACCTTGCTCTTTGCAATACTCTCGAGCTACTTCAGTCTTTAACATTTTAGTCTGAAAAAGAAAAGAAATCTTCCTTGCTAAAATGACTTGTTTTGTAACTGACTTTAACAAAAAGAAAACAAGGAAAATAACAAAATAAAACAATCATTGGGTATAAGAAGTTTCTTTAGAAATACGTCACCTTGATAAAACTTGTTTTCCTACCCAATGGAAAAGTATATTAAGTTTTTGAGTTAAAATTGAGAGTTTGGATTAGCTTAAGAAGATATATATGGTTCTAATATTTACCTGTAATATTTGCATGTTGTTCATCTTCCTCGGGACTTGCATTAGGGGTGGTAGGGGAAACACTAAGCAGCAGACACACAGAAGCCCAGAAAAAGTGTTGTTTCTTCATTGTGTAAATCATTTCTGAAATACAAAACCCATACACACCTGATAAATAAAATGTTAACATGAACAAAATGCTAGTCTATAGACTAGCAAAAATCTTATGCTTACTTCCAAATGTACTTCGTTGGTTTATAAACCAGAGAACAGAAAACATCTCTCTTAGTGGGGATTGATCACACCACAATCCCTTCCCCTCCATTTCTCCGTCATTTTGATAGGGAGAGACCTTGAATTCATGAATAACTCAGGGCTGATAGGGGCCTGAGAATTCCCAAATTTACTGCTCCTTCCTGGAGCTACAGGGTAACCTGAAACCTTGAATAGGTTAGAATTTCTGCTTCTCTGCCACTTCCATTTTAGTGCAGGTTCAAGCCCCTTCCCCATTCCTAACATCCTGAGACCTTCCCATCCCAATTCCCCGCTAAAAGGTCCATGTCCAACACCCAGTCAGGGCCAGAGATTCAGCGTTAACTCCTCTATGCCCGCTGGTGAAATAGTTTGCCTGTCTCTCCTGAGTGCTGTTGGTGTTCTTCGGCAGCATTTCTGGGATTTGGGGCACACGTGCCCATTTGCCTGGTGTTTTTCAAGCCACCAAACCTGGAATTAGAACTGCATGGTAGACTATGTGGGATCTGGCTCCTTTAAGCAGCTATGGGACTTCACTTCTCCATGTAATTTTGCTTTTGTTTTTGTTTCTGCTATAGGGTGTGTGCATTCACAAGCGAGAAAGAGGAAGAGAGAAATAAAAGTGGAAAACCACCCATGGGGGTGGGGGGCAGGGATGGCCATGCCACAATCCCTTCTCCTTTTGGGATTTTAGACTTATACACACAGGGGCCTGACAAGATTTTATCAGGCCACCAGGTCTGAGATTCAAACCACAGAGTTAGGCATGTGAGATCCTGCACCCTAACCACCATGCCACCTGCTGGCCCCCAAATGCAAATTTTTATGACATTTCCTTTTTTTTTTTTTAGTTTAATTAATGAGAGGGAATGCACACGCACATATGCAAACTGTGTTGTGGGCGAGAGGTGGTGAGTCTGGATAGGGTCTGTTTATACCTTGATCTCCTTCCTATAACTTTCCAGCCCATCAGGAAGTTGGGCACACATGCACCTGGTCATGTTTTCAGGTCAATTGGGGAACTAAATTCAAGGCCAGGCATGTGGCTTCCAGCAGTGTGGTTCAGTATATTACCAACTGTTACCAGGATGGTAACATTTAACGTGTATTTACATATAACATCGACATTTAATGTGTATTTATAGTTCTTTTTGTATATCCTCCATGAGTCATATCTAAAATATGTATGTAGTATTCAAATTTATGGATGAACATATAGTCTTAGTGCATACATTTAATTATATTCCAGGTATTATTTCAACTTATAAATTAAGAAAAAAATGGACAGAAATGGGTAAATAGTCATCAATATGGCTAAGATGTACTGAGAACCATTTTCGTATACAAGTCTGCCTTCCAAATCTTGCTCACGATCGTTCTTTTTCCATCAAACTAATTTATTTTAATTTTTCTTCCCTGTTTTAAATTTCTTTTTATTTATAATTTTTTAGATACAGGCTCTCTCTAGGTTATTGAGATATGCCTCAAACCCATGATCTTCCTGCCTCAGTCTCCTGAATAGCTGGGAATTTAGGTGGGTACCACCGCATCTCCACTTTTATTTATTCAATGCATTTTCAATTGCTGATTTTAATTTTTCTTTGCACTGGTCCCTCTTTTAAGAAGAAAACACATTTTTAGAGTTTCGATTTTTTTTTTTTTAAATATACTTGTTTTTATAATCAATTTCCTAGTCAAGTTTTTTGGTGCATTAACAGACAGCTAGAACTCCAGACAAAAGAAATGCCTGTCATTCCAACTATTTCTTTCCCCAGTTCATTCTTCTTCAATTTAGAGAGTTATCTGATTCAAATGAGTTTCACAGAAAGGTGACTTTAAGTGATAAGTCAACACTTTCACGCTCTAAAGCAAAGAAATTTCAGC